CATCAGTGGTGTAGAAAACGTAGAGTTTATTGCTTCACCGGTGGGACAGGTAAAACTTACAAACAAGCTGTAGGTACTTCAGCACCTCGCACACACACACGCTGACCGAGAGCATCTTCTTTTTTTTAAAAAAACCACACTCTTCTTCTATTTGGCTTGCTACTCAGTGTCACAGACAACTTATACTGGCCTATAAGCTATTGGCAAGTGCAATAATACATTTCAGAACAAATTGTAGCAGTATATTATAAGATAAAATGTTACAATAAGGTAACTGGCTTTAAGTATAATGAAATATTATTCCAGGTGCCATAATTATGCTTTTTAGATCAAACAAGATGGTTACAGGTCCTTGTGTATGCAAGAGTGCAAGTCTTCAGTTAGCTTTATCGAGGGCAGGACTCTATAATATTATTAGTGCACTGTTAGTGAAACTGAATTTTGTTTGGTCTGTGAATAATTACACAAATATTTTGGGATAAAAGAATAAATAAATAAATAAAAGAATTACTGAATTGAATTACTCCTAACAAAATTGTTCAGTAGAAAACAATACAACTTAGTGGTGAGATTTTTTTCTACCCACCAGAAAGGTGTAGACTGAAGCTACAGCTAATTGCATGGACTGATTTTGCATTAACACTAACATCTAATGACACCCAGTGTTTTTTCTCAGTCTTGCCCTCCTGCTTTTATGATTTGCATATTGCACATGACCATATTGCAATTTAGATAATATCTTCGATGAATTGTGCAGCCCTAGTATATGCAGTATATGTATGTGTATATGTACTGTGTACAGTACATATACACACACTTTTTGCTGTTGTTGTTGTTGTTGCTGATCCGAAACATGATCTGAACTGTTGAGTTGTCCTTCGCAATATTTAATATTAATAATCTCTGGGACACACAGCTTGTAGAAATTCAGTCAAAGCCTTTTCTGCCAGTATTCAAGAGACCTATTTTCCACATGTGTGTATTACAACATGCCTAATGACAGTGCCAAAATATGTGGTAATGTTATACCCCCTACAGTAAAATCACATCCACAGAACGGTGACATTTTCTACTGAGCTTTCAATGACGTACACATTATTAAGGGGGATGCAAATAAGCCCCGACATTCATTTAAGTACAAGGACAGGGATATTTATCATCCAAAGACTGTCAGATGGCACCTTGTGTTCACAACCTGGGGCTGTGGTTTAGGGCTGCCAGGCATGAGTGGAGAAAGAAGGAAAAAACAGATGATGATGGCGTTGGTGAGGAAGAGGAGGGTCCAATGAAGATGGGGAGAAAAGGAGATGACAACATGGGAGAGGGAAGAAGAGTTAGAGGGGCAGAGATTTTGGCCCGAAGGTTTAAGGTCGTCTGAATATTAAACTCCTACGTCGAGCGTGTCAGCCTTCATACATGACCACATTAGTCAGCCCACAGCAAGACGAGAAAGAGAGATGGCTGGATGAGGCCTCAGGAAATCATGAATTACTGTCTCACTGCAGAACATGAAAACCTGTAATGAAAGCAACACATCAGTGGTGCACGTGTTTGTGTATGTGTGTCTGTGAGTAAGACAAGACACGTGTGACCAACAGTACTGTATGCACAACAACCCATGCTGCTAGCTCACATTCATTAAAATTTTTAACAGTTTTGCAAAATATTCTTATTTGCTTTCTGTTTTGTGAGATGAGAACATTAATATTGAGCTCATATCTGTGTGTTTACAGATCTAGACTTAGGATAGTTAGCCATTAAAAGTGTAAATTTGCATTGTGAATTGCACATGTATGATGCATATTGGCATATTTGCACAGGCCCCGGAGACAACATAATATAATATAATATAATAGATATTATGTATAATATGAATATTATAGTGGCAAAGTTGCATTATAGTGGATGCACAGGTATATTGCACAGGTATATAATAATATACCTACCAATACTTGTTGCTTGTTGGCCTAAAACGACCTGGAATTGTAATAAGTTGCAACAAATTGCAGCAGCACTGCAATATAAAACTGATAGATTTCAAAAGCTGTGTGACAAGCAAGATCAACCATTGATAGGTTGGCTGGATATGTTAAATCCCCTACCAAAATCCTAGTGTCTTTTTGGATTCTGATTTTCAATAGAATCAACACTATTTATTTATATGTATATTTAAGAACTAATGTTTAAATTGAGACTACATGTAATCTTTTTCTTACTTCATTGCAAGCCTCTTGCTCGTATACCTTTTGCTTGCTTTTCTTCATCCAAATTAACTTAATTATAAAATACGTGCAGTTGGTTTCACACTTTTTCAGGCAAACATGTGCATGTAATTAAAGCACTTGTTGTTGTTTTCCACCCACAGTAAACAACTTGTTACTCCCGTCTACCATCCAGCCCCACTCGTCTGGGCCAGAGGTATGTTAACTGCCAGCTAAGGCAGGCTTTCTGTTGCTATACTATGCTAATGCTATTCACTGTTATTCCTGAGTTGTCTGCTGGCGAGAAGCTCATCATGTTGGGCTGTACCATGCTCAGGGCTCCAGACTAACTTT